CTTATCCCCCGACCCATTTTTTGGCACGGGCACAACCACTGTCTTCATAAAAGTTTTTGCTTTTATTTGATGGATTTATTTTAATGAATTTCCTATTCGAGTACTACCTCCCTAATATTAAGAAACTATTGAAGCCTATAGATTCACTGACAATACCAGCGATAACTCGCACTTGGCCAAATAGTATGGATATTCTTTTTTTATGAAACTCCATTCATTCTGGTGAGTCTACCTAAAAGAAAATACCATAGGGTACTGATTAACATCTCATTAAAAACAAGCGCCTAAAATTTTCGGCTGTCTGGTCTATAAGCTTGATCTTTTTTAATTGAATTATTTTTTAAATAGGGTAAGTGAACTTGAACTGATTAACTGACTCACCGTCTCTCTGAATAATACCTTTAAGGAGACCTTAATGTAAAGGAAAAGTTGTAAAGTCTAAGGTAAGGACTCTACCTTTTTTCTTTCATATTTCTTTTTGGGTTGCAGCACACGATAAACATTCGAGGTGTTTACTAAAACGCTACCGTATGATACCATACCGCTTTGCTAAGAAGGGAAATGGACTTATTATATTTTCCACTCCTCCAATTTACTTTCGATTACTTTCGTTGCGGGATTCAAGGCACTTTAACTTTTCCCGAGATTCCCCGAGTGTTATATATCGGTGTGCTCATAGGTCACTACTGTTAATCCTGCTGTACAGGAATGATAATAGAGGGCGTGTGGGAGAGGTTACTCCTACTATGATACCACAGTATATTAAAATGTATGGTTTCTAACTAGCTTTTTCAATTTATAAATGTATTATTTTCTTAATTCAACAGATACCGAAATCTTAGTTTTAACCGCATGCTCTTGACAAAGATAAATACAAACGCTTTTTTTATATACTTATAATATCATGTAGGTAATTAAGAACTGTGCAGTATGTAAGGCAAATACTGGTCACCTACTTCGGTAATCACTTATTTTCTCTCACTTAATCTCGTGGAATGGACAGGTTGAACATTTGTTTACTTGGTTTTGTTATACTCTCTGAATAAACTATATAAATTTGATTTTCATAAAAGACTTCGATTTAAAAAAAGAAATGCTCAAATTGTGATACGATATAAATCTTATAAAAAATACTGGGTATCGCCAACATCGACTCCCTTTGAAACCTTTTCCCCGAAGATAAACTAGATAGGTAGCAAGTCTATTCATTGCCCAGTCAAGCGCAAACTGTATAATGGTATGCCTATTTATAATAGCCTCTGAGACTCAGAGCCATTCAGTGGACAAGGAGGACGCCAGCATCGCTCCATTTAACATACGCGCATGCTTCACATAACCACTAATCACGGCTAAGACACCTGCTTATAAAGTTCTAAGTAGGAAGTCATAATGGTAATAACAAGTTCAGGTATCTACTTAAAATCTCGTTTTACAACAAAACTTCTGTTATTTCGTATGTTTAATTATAAAAATTCACAGTTAATGTCAATATTTTTTTATAGACTGTTTGGTGTTTAAAATTTTAGAATTCGTTTAAAAAGGTAGCCGTCATATTTTTACTTAAAAAAAGTATTGAAATAAAACGGACTCTACATTTTCTTGTTCATTGAGATTTTTACAGCCAAGAATACCAAGTAGTGTGCACTCGTATATGACTCGACGGGAGACAAAAACTGTCACCATTTCTTTATATTACTGTAAATAAACAAGAGTGGATACGTCTGTCAGTGTTTCGGTACGTCTTTGGAATATAGTAAGCATAAGCGATTTTATTATTAAATAGCCAATATATATGTCGCACCTAACTCGATAATGGATCTCATTCGGCCGAGCAGTTCCGAGGACATACACCGAAAACTAAATTCACAATACCCTGGAGGTGTGAAATAGTCAACTCTAGCCAGTTTTGCCATTGAACTATTTCATAATTCACTTTTCAAATAATGAGATTATTTGCAGGTAAGATTTTCTCAATAGCTGAGTTTGTTTATGCTGTAAAAAGAAAACGCTTAAGCTACAAATAAAAATGGAATGCTTACCTTAAGTAATTCCAATGATATTAAATTGCCAACCATTATTAGATTTCTTCATTTAGTTGTTAACACAACACTGCCTGTATTTGTGCAATTAAAAAAATACATAACTTTAACGTTACAACAATAACATTGATTTCTTACGTTCTCGTGAAATGAAGCTTAGGTAAACAACTTTCATTTAAACACTTTTTACACTTTTCATACCTGTCATTATAAATCACATGAAAAACGAAGTGCACATATGATATTTTCTAAAATGTGTGTAAGCGAACAAGGTTTAGTAGCATTTCTGCACTTTATATATAAACGTAACATGTATGATAATAAATGTCAACTTGGTAAATAATACTAACACCAAATCAGAATAGGTATTGTATTGATAGTGATTTATATTATTAATGAATTTGACGGTTCATTCGAGTTAAGAGGTGAGTGATTGCGCGCGCCCTGGAATCGACCGGGCGTCCCGCCGCGCCACTGAGACATCTCGCGAGGCTCAGGCCCCGAGCCGCGCGGGTGTCGCTACGCGCGCATGCGTACCGCGCGCCTCCCACGCCACCACCATGCTGCAAGCTTTACATTACTCGCTTACACACTATGAAGATGAGTACCTGTGCTATACGTATAACAATAAGCAGCGTATGCGCTGTTATCAACGGCGCTGAGAATGACGCGCCGCGAATCCTAAAATGCGGTCAGCGATAGAACAACAATCATTAACATGACGTCAACGATCCGTTCTTGTCTACTATAAAGCATTTCATTATCTGTTACTTCATTATGAGACACCTATAACATTACAATCAAAATGGGTTTCTGAATCACAAGGAGGTTCGCTGTAATACTCACATTGTTTGATTAGTACTCAATAAAGTCCCTCATAATTGCCTTCTTTGACTTATAATTATTTTCACCTGCTTAATTCTCTTGACCCGTCTGCTCGGTTGCCTCCCTATGCTATAAAAATTTACTCAAGGTTACTACAGTTCTCATCAACCATCTGAATTCTAAAGCTCCTTATATGCATTTCTTACAATTCTACCCTACCCGTTTTCGTCCTACACCTGTATTTCTTTAAAATCTTATAACGTTCGTATACTAGCACGTATTCGATTTTTTTTTAAGCTATTAAACAAATTATTTTACTGTCTTTTATTTTCATTTACCCAGATAAAAAGCTGTATGAAATTGTACTAAAATACACTTGCTGTTAAAATTTTTACTTGTAATACTTACCACTGGTTGACAACGCGGCGTCCACCCGTGGACCACCTGTCGACGAGTGGACATCGAGCGATGAGATGATGGTGGTCGGGTGTCGGGTGGGTCTAATGAGCTTAAACCACTATGCCATCATGTTTTGAAATTTGAGATTACTTAAGTACAACAAATGACCTTGAAAAGCAGGTATACAGTCGCAAGAGAGTACGGATGAAGAAAACAGTAGTACAAACTCGTAGCACGCACCTTAAACCTTAATAGTTGTTTTAGAAACTAAGTATTAAATAGATTACGTCTATGACTACTCGTACATACTGGAAGTTTATCCAAAATAATATATATATTCTGCATGCATAATTTAAATAAGACTCAGAATTTACTGTGTACCTCAGTATATACTGTTTACTGCGTGTATACTGCCGATCAGTCCACACACGCGCGGTTTTCTTCAATACAACAAGGGAAAACATGAACTCTAGCTTTTGGATTGCAGATTGAATTGCGCGATGAGATTACTAGATTATTTTCAATTAAAATCTAAGGTATATAACAACTCTACTAAATGAATACGAATTGAAATGTGCCCCCTTTGCCAGTGAGTTTGGCAAGGAGTGTAATGAGACTCGAGATGATTTTTAGTCTGTTTTATTTTAGACACAGACAGGGCTTATATACTAATGTGGTGCGCGTGTACTATTTCTTAGCAAAAGTTCATGACTGATTGCATAGGGGTTGGCTCGAGTTGGCGCGGAGAGAGCCCGGGAGGATGATCTCAGCTCGGACCTAATTCGCCGCCGACGAACCGGGCGGCGGAGATGCGCTTACCAGCGCCTTATGCCGCCCTGAGTGTGGTTGCGGTGGACGGGACAGCTTTTTCCCCTCCACCCACCATAACGGCCAGACACGAGGAGGCGACGTCCGCGTGTGCCGGACGTCGCCTAATAGAGAATGTACCCGAAGGTGGTGCCTGTACCGTTTCGTGCAGGTGCTGGGAGGGGTCCGGACGTCCTAATAACAGAAGTCCCCGGATCCCTCCTATTACAGGCACGCGCGCACGGAGTGGCACACCGTGTGGTTTTAGTCCAACTAGTCGTATCGGGCAGCCTTACTGTTACTCACAGACCAGCGTTGGATATCGTTTTGCCCTGTCTGGTGCGTCGAACGAAAGAGTAGTGGCTCTCTCCCTTTCTCTTTCCGAAGCCTCTTTAGCGGACATCACTTCCTCGTTAAAAGGAGCGACGGAATCCCACGCACTCTCACTATGGACTATGGCCAAACCATGTTCAAGATGTAAAGGATGTCCTATCCTTTACATCTTGAACATGGTTAAATAAAAGGTTAAATAAAAAAGAAAATTTTTAGAAGCGTCTGTATTTTAAGAACTCATATAAAATCTATGGAGGAATAACATATTTTTACAGATTAAAATTTAACTTATATAGATGGTATATTAATAAACGTTATTTATTGTTTTGAAAATGCAAAGAAAAAATGTAAATAAAAGGCAATAAAAATTACATGCAAGAATAACAATCGTAGATCTTCAATTGACATGCTTATGTAGTTCGATCTTAACATGTTCTAAATTTATTTACCTACAAACTAATTCAACAATTCATTTACAAACCACCAACATATATTTTAAAGTTCGTGAGGTGCTTTTTATACAAACATGCAGATAAATCATCAAGAAACCAACGTTTATTTGATTAATTAAAGCCTTGGCTGATGCGATGTAAGCTGCTACAAACAAACGATACGTTCGGTGAAGGCTCCTACAATAGTCATATCCCCGGAGAGAGCAGCGCGCATTACTTGTGGCGCAATCGCATCCCGCACTCGGAGTGTAAATTCCCGCCGAGCCGGAGCAGGCAATACTCCTCCAGCTATATTTAGTATCCTGGTTCTACCGGCCACATCCAGCGGTTTACCTTCCGGGCTAGGCCCAAGAACAGTACGAACACATAATGTTCTGCACACTTCCCTTTCAGTTTCGACCAGCTCTCGGGCAGCTATTTCAAATGTCCTCCTTGTATCGACACCACCGACGTTGGAACTAGTACAAGTTCCTCCCTCTTCGTGCGCTTTCAAAGCTCCTGCCCGAAGTATTGCCGGTAGTAGCAACTCTGCAGTTGCGCTCACTGTCCTCGACCGTAAAAAGTGTAAAACCTGTTCAGCTTCCCTAGTTTCATCGAACAGCCTTCGCTGTCTCGATGCAGGAACAGGCCGAGCTACCTCCCACGCTTCTACCCACGGATTACCCGGCAGAAGCATACGATCCCCCAATGATCCACCGTCTTCCGGCTTCCAATCCCTCGGTGAATACCAGCGTACAAAGTCACACAGCTCAGCTCCTGGATTAGCAGCTTTAAACGCTTCCATATCAGAAAGAAGCGAGGCACTCATCATCCGTGCTCGAAGTTCCGATGCTTTTGCATCGTCACCGAGCCGCACCATTAATTCTGCGTCTTCCTCCAGCTGATCTTCCGTCTTTGGCGCAGGATCCTAAATATCAAAAATAAATTATGCAAACGGCTGTCGTAGATACTATTTATTAGCAAAAAATATCTACAATATTCATCAACCTACAGTTTTATATACCGGTCTGATAACTTTTACCAGATAACCTAAATTTATAACATTTACCGTAATTGAAAAATATAATCTTTGATTTTAGGCTTTTTAATATATAAACACTTCTGTGCTTAACTCTGTACCATAAGTTTAGTATATTTCCCAATTATTATTATTAAATATTAAGTAATATTAAGTAATATTAAATAATTAAACTTTAAAATTTGTATTATAAGTTCCTTTTATTCAGCTGAATTTTAATAATTATAGGATGCATACATACACACTATACGATGCATACATACCTGTGTACGGGGTACATATAAGGGTGCTCCATTCTTCATAACTGCATCTCCAAAACGACTGAGACGGCCTACAGGTCGGTCCCATGGCAGTTGGTCCTCATTTTCACCTTCTGAGCAATCAAAAAATTCATCTTCTGAAGAGTTGCCTGCTAAGCTACCGTTCCCTTCCAGAGCTTTTTTGATACAACAGTTAAGAAGCTGCAGTTTTTGATGCAGCAAGCATGTGCGGGCATTTGGCATTCCTTCTGCAATTCTGTGTAAAACAAAAAGTAAAACCATTATAGGTTTCAGCATTACGAACATAGGGTTAAGTTAACCATCTTCAAATTACCGTTTACACAACCTCAAAGCTTATTTCAAAACGATTGGTTAGCAGTGATCTGACGAGTAATAGGGGAGAATGGAAGAAATAAAATCATTGCGCCGACCAAAATTAATTTTCGAAAAGGTTAACAAGATTATGATTGTTAGCAGGTTCTGGGTAGCAAAATAGTACTGGGCAAGCTCAAACCATGGGTCCCTCCGTGGGACCCATGGTTTGAGCTTGCCCATTTTGCTAAGGTACTTCCAAAGGTAATTCCACAGCATGTACTAAAACACTTTTTTCGTAGTATTAATTTATATATAATTAGATCTCTTCAACAGAATGTTCCCTTTACTACATAATTAAAGAAGTAAACGAATAGTAAAGCGCTCAATAAAATTCTACACAGCGTACGTACGAAATTGCTCTGCCATAGAAATAATATTGACCAAAGACTATATTATATCGATGGCCATTAACGATAACAATCAAGCCGAAGCTAACGTTTACGTGTAACTAATAAGGATTTCTTGTTAAGCGCCTTTTTATGACTACTAAACTCCTAATTGTACTGAAATTCGTAATAGTCAAAGAATTTGGTGGCAATATCTCGCTACCTATAATAATTTTACCTATAATTATTATTATGATGATATATGTATGTAATATGATGTCTAGTAAATTAAAAAAAGGAAGAAAAACTTAGATGGCTTTTATAACCGCTTATAGTAACAATAAATGAAGATGTATAAGTCTCTTGTCTGAGAGATACACAGCAAAGAAAGTAAAACAATCCATTTTTGATAGGCTTCTTTCTATATGCCATTGGAAGGGCTGGTTTACTTCACCATACCAACCAAGCACTACCGTTGCGAATTTTAAAGTTGAAACAGCTCCAGGGAAGGTTCCCAACCACTTGAACTTCAGAAGTTTTTGTGTTTATAGACACTGATAAGCACTTTCAATCACGTTCAATTTAAAAACCCTTAAAACTTTTGATACTAGTATTTAATCGCGGGTTCTCTCAATTAATGTAGTCACAGTCTAAACGTATTTATTTATCCCTCGAGTCTAGATAGGGTCGGTTTCCGCATTTAGACTCAGAGTGGTCCTTTATGCGTGTAATACTAAAATAAAATAAATACTGACTAATATCTTTATATTCGTTCATAATCCGAATAGTTGTAGACGACAGCTTCTTTAAATCAAAGTCATGTCAAAAGAAACCATCATTATACGAAAACAATATTGCATTAACTTGATGCAAAGTAAACAAGCGTAGTGTAAATTAACGTGCAGACGTCACTTGCAGTTTCCTATAGGGCGCGGCTGTTGTACAGACTAAGTTGATGTCGGATAAATTATGTATACTTTTTTTTCTCATTCTCTATACCTAATATAATACTTAGATAGATTAATAAAGAAAGTTGTTTTATCGACAATTGTTTTATGAGTATGTTTTTGTTACGATCCATAGGTTAGTTACCGATAACATTTTAATCTTTTATTAGATATTTGACCACGCTTTAGGTTAGAATTTCTATAGCAGTATTTTACAAACGGTTTGGAATTCCGAATCAATAAAAGACAGGAAAAACCACAAGTGAAGAAGAACTTTAAGATAAAAATATATATCTGATATGCATTATTCTCTTCTACGTTGATTAAGAACTAAAACTTAGCAAAAAAAATACTACAAACTAAGTAGTCACTTACACATCACATCACATATATACATGCTATACTAGAAAACTGAAGTCCAATAAGTATTGACGGAAGGAATGTGGGGAACGGAGTAGGATGGCCTCCAAGTCAATATCACCCGTGTTACATACACAACTTTTATAGGACTTAGCAGCTATCGCAATTAACTCAGGATGTCTGCCGTTTTCTACGTTCAATCAGGAAAACAAAGAATATACCGATTTATACATATGTACGAGTACCTGCAAGCATTTTCAAACTTCGAGATAGTTTTTGGATTTTGCAATTCAAGGGGATGCTGAGAATTATTTTGAACGATTCTCTTCACTTCTCGAACCTAATTTCGAGTTACGTACTGGGTGTCGACGACTCGCAGGTCTTTACTGACACTGCACTATCAATATGAGATCTTAGTCTTTCAACTATTAAAGCCCTTAAGTTGAAATTACTTTAATCCACGAATTACTTCATAACTTTGTTAGAAAGCCGAACGATCTGGTCTAGGGGAATGTGTAAGGCGTGTCGCGAGGAATGCTTAATTGCACTGTTGTGATTTAAAACACGCATACAGTTTTAATATGCTTCTGAGATTATTAATTTACTTACAGTTTAATACTTTGTATTTTTTCCAAAGTAAATATCGGAAAATCGATCTGAGTGGCGTGTAATGGTAGAGGCCTATGTCCAGCAGTGGACTGCGATAAGCTGATGAAATGATGATGAAACATCGGAAGCTTTTTATTTTGTTTTCAGTTAAACTATTTATACCGCGAACAATTTTACATAGATAATTGTACCTTTTACTAAAGAAAGTGGTCATACTGCAAATATGTATTATGAATATTATGGCATGCTAAATAACTTTTTACATTTCAAATATCATGTAGATACGCTAACACGTTTTAACTTTCACTTTAAACTTAATGTTAAAATAGACAATCATATATCCTCAAATAGAAAGCCAATGACTCATAAGACACTAGCTGTAAAACAAAAAATCTAAATGTTTGTCTTAGGCAAATGTTAGTAACACTGTAAATAAAAGAAGTGCAAGGCCCTAATGTGTCCTCCTTCATTCTCAAGGCTGTAACTATCAACCGGTATCTAAATGATCGGTTGCAATTACTGTGCCACGACCCAGAATCAACGGGAACGTAACTAAACGCGCGAACGCTCTCGGAACCGTTATCACATTGAATTACAAATGCGGCGGCAGGCGGACAGAAGGCGAACGCCACTAAGGCCACATCTGCAAGACATTCGACGTACAATCGGTCGCTGAACCATTTGTTTACCAGAGCCGGTGAGCTAGCATCAACTAGGTGTAGGTCAGGCAGGTTTGGTGGGGGCTCTGGCGCCGGCCAACAGTCCGACGCCGACGACAACCGCGAGCGCATCCACCGCAGACATGGACCGACTTCGGTCAATCTATGTATAATACCGGTTTCTGAGACTGAAAGTGTGAGAGTTTACATCGTGGTGAACTAATGATGATAAGTCTTCAGTGATTTATAAAAATATATTTTCCCAAAAACAGTGATAGTGTTTAAACATAGTGAGCAGTTATAAGGATTACTTGACTCAACCGCGTGTTCTTTTTTTCAAAATGGTAAGTTTTAAAAGCGATAATTTTCTTTTAGAAAGCCGGTATGAAAAGTTTGATAAAAAATTGTTTATTCGTCTGTTGACCTACTTGTTAAGGATTATATACGCAGTAAGAAAAACACGTAAGAAACAAGAAAGTGCGGCATGACAAGATATATCTATCAACTTGTAATTATGCTGTTATATATTAAGCTATAATTTCAAAATTAATTGCATATCTATCAAACAATAAAGTGGCTACGTTTTTTTTTCAAACTGTCACTTTAAGGAATATATAATCCTGTTCAAGTTAACTACTTACATATTTACTTATTATTATATACTGGTAGAATGCCGATTGCACCGATATAGCATTCTTTGTGTATCAATGTCATACATATTACTATTTTATGTGTGACGAAAGAACATTGCCACAATAACTTAACTACAGTTCTTTAGAAATGTTCTAATCAATCGCTTCTTATTTAAATTGGTTGAAATCTTATTTCAAGCACCTACCTATTTCTCTTATCACTAAGCTACAGGTGAACTCCGATCGAAGTTATTCTTTCTGGTAAAAGAGGACTTTATCAAGATAGAGGAGGAAAGTTTAAATAGTAAACCATGCGGCAGAAGCTTTCATAAAAACTCTCAAGAGATTTTTGACAAATCAAGAATATGCAGTTCGGAACCTAAATATAATGAGCTTAAGAGTTAATGAATTACAGGTACATTAACTACGAGTCATTAAATTTGGGAAACCCGATTGTCAGTGAGATGAAAATGTAATTTTAAATGGTTATCCAAGTATGTGTGTCATCAGTATAAAAATCATGAGATCCATCGTGCGCAGCGACTCACGTGTTGGCTATGTCATTTGTACACTTTCTCCGATACGTGGATATCGATAATTTTGAAACTCTGTTTAATAAACTGTTGTAAAAAAATTCTTTACAAGCAGAACCAGAACAAAAGAAGTGTACATTTTTTTTTTGACATATTGAGTAAATATTGAATAACAAGATCATGAGCTTAGAAACAATACTCGAAACCACGATGATATCATTCCTTGGAAACAACAGAAGAATTGTTATTTCAATTGATGAAAATTACTAAACAATCTCCTTTATATCAAAACTCGTCGAATTTATAAATACGTAATTTTAACATTATTATACAATGTTGACTCGAATCGCTTCTAACGTTGACTTTCTTTTTAAACTTCTATTCCTTGTCCTTAATAAAATTAGGATAAATTATTGAAAGGAAATAAATCTTTCATTTATCAGTTTACAAAACCTGCAGGCAACTGAGAATTATGATGTGATAGAAAAAAAACAACTAGAGATCGGCCTAGAAAATTAGCACCTTACACTATGCAAACTAAATGAAAAAATCCGAAATCATCGTAACCAGAGTATAAAATGAATAAAAGATTCACATCGGCAATATTACTTTGCCTGTGAGTCAAGAATTGTGACCCTAAGTTATTTATGTTTGTATGCGACTGATAAATTTCAATTTGCAGTGTAAAAAATGGTGCCAGAGGAAGGGAATTCTTGTCGAAAAATCTATTTCGTTTTTCTCTAGTGGTTTGTTTACTTGGCAAAGTTTTCTTATGTGCAGACTTAATAGTATATTTGTAGAGGCGGCAAGGGTGGCGGTGCCCGGTGAGGTAATCGCCTTGCGACGACACAGGGTGGCTCTAACACTGTGTCTAAGTCAGTTCCGCACTTTCAACTTCGTTAATAGCCATCCTGTTTACATTTATCTTTCTAGAACAGTTTAAATTTGGAGAGGAATCAAATGAAATTACTTAAGCTACCGATTACATAGACATTTGAAGTAGACCATAACCAGTGCCTCGTACGAAATTATAGTTTATATATTCAGTACTAAACCACGATTTTATTATAATTATTACGTAAAAAATATTCATTTTGTTATAGTAGCTACTAAATACGTAAATTTAAATTTAAAGGCATATTAATATGTATTAGTTTCGTTTAATCGATAATCGCCTGGTGATAAAACGATACTTTCTAAATTTTACATCAATTCAGATTATATGCTAAATATATATTTTAAATTCAATAAGTACCTACTACTTTTTATATTCTTGTATGTTTCTTTTGTAGTTTTTCATGAAGCGAAAACTATATAGACTTTTTGCACTTTAGTAACTTACAGTTGTTATTTTTAAATCATACTGTTTAATCTCAGTAATAATACAATTAATCATATTATCATGTAACTGAAAAAGAGACTTAATAGTTTGGTTTTGCCTTGTATTGTTTAGAAAAATCAAACACAAAAGCCATTGCGCTACCGTACAAAAATTGTTTGAATTCAGGCAACTATTGAATAAAAGTGAGAATGGGGCAAAAAGTAGAACAACGATCACAAATAGAAACATAATAGTGTTCGGCTTATTGTCGCCCACAACCCCCCTGTCACATCCCTACTCCACTGTACAAAACAACTTTATCAATAGATACACAACACCAACTTTATCACAAACTTGAAAATCGTACCTTTATAACTCCTACAATTAAGCCTAGTAAATAAATTTTATCAATACTTTACATCATTACCGGTCAAGGTACACGCACGCCCGTATCCATGAAAGGGGTGAGCAGAGGCGTGTTAAAATGCTCACATTTTGGAGACTACTTTAAGCCCATTTTACACCAATACGGTTTTATGTAATATTATAATATCTATTTGTGTAAATGTCTGTTTGTATTTTCAAGAGTACACCTACAACTGGAGGGGCATCCATAAATTAAGTCACACGAATTTCATGGTTTTTTGACCTCCACCCCCTTCCTTGTCACAGCTGGTTAAATTTGTGAGCCCACCCCCTACTGTGACATCACATATTTTGCTCTAGAAATTATTAACTGAAAATAGTACTTCCAAAATTAATTACTTTTATTATCATTTATTTGTTAGTAAAATCAACATTACAAAAAGATTAATTGTATTACTGTAAACAATTTAAAGTTCGCATTTTAATACTTAGATTTATAAGGGTTTTGAAATGTGACGCCACAAAACTTGGACCCCTCCCACCCCTTGTCACACATTGTCACAGTTCGCCGAAAACATGAGACGTAATTCATGGATAGCCCCTAGTATGTTTTATTAAATACTTTGTTAGTATATCCACCGTTATCTAGTAAAGACCGCACTTAGCGATAAAAATTGCTAATTTCAAGATTTATACTAAGTATCTTACTGTACTATGTTTTAGTCGTGTATAGTAAAAAATATTTCTAATTCACTCAATCCACAGATTGACATTCTTGGTTCACATTGATCCGCTTAATAGTTAAAAAATTAACAAGAAATAATATTTTAGCTAGTTTAATTCGTTTATTTATATTATTTCTGTACCTATAGGTACACTTTATTTCTTTAAAAAATACCGTAACTAGTTACTGTATCATCCATCAGATGTATTTCAGACTAATTCAGACACATTAGAATTATACATTTATCTCATATAACTTGCAAATGTATTATAATATATACTAATATGAGGTGGTTTACTATTTAATTAAGGTAATCATTCACCATTTCATTATTTAGCACTAGAAAAAGGGTGCGTCAGCTTCATAAAAAAAATTAGTTAAAGAAATTTAAATACACACATTAATGACAGAGGACAATGAATAGCAGTAATATAATAATAGGTTTATCTGAAACTAAGGTATAAAAAGTGATGCAATAAATTTATGCCTAGAAAATTCAGTAACAATTCATGGCATCAATATCAAAACTAACTCTTTGAATAACACTTACATTCATTTGAAACAGTACTGACTCAGATAATGCTGATTGAAACTATTGTTCTACTACGAAAGAAACCAGTTCAATATATAATTAACAAAAAGTCTCCACATCTTTAAGATGTATGTGAAAATATTTCGGTCACTAACTTATGCATATTATGTACAAGCCGTACGTGGGCCGCCTGCAGCCAGTTTGCGCAGTTTGTATCGACGAAGGTGTTATCCGTGAAATTCAGTAGCCAATTAATTCATGAGTACGTTGCTCGCATTGCGCTCCGGGAACGCGTTTTAATTACCTCTCGCGAATTGAAGAGACTACGTAACACCCAGCCATAAAGTTATTAATTAACGAACTTTGTATCTACAAATAATATTTGTTTAAATTAACCTTCTGACTTTACAGAGAACTTAAAATGCTAAAATTATTGAGTTTTACTTATATACTGCCACAAAGAGGAATGCTTAAGATATCTCTAAATGTTCACTTTAATTTTTAAGCAATTATATTGTTGTGGCCAGTTGTTAGGTATTAGATACTAGGTTTCCTTGACCTACTGCAGTCTCCCGTTTCCGAATCCGAAACTTGAAGTCGCCCTATCCGGTCTCCTTATTCGAATTTACCTTCCCCCTTATCCCGTCCGAAAACCGTCTGTAAATCATCCGGGAAGAAACCAACTAGTACGTTTTCACTGGTACGCCGACCTCAAGTAAAATTCGAAAAAGGGTACATTGTTAGTATCCACTCATCTACTTTATATCAGAACTTATCAAACATAAAGATAGGAATAAAAACTAGCTTAATGATATTAAAAAGGCATTGGCAGATAGAAAGAAAGTTGTATGAATCGATTTAAATATCGCCAACATAGCATGTGGGTAGTCTTGAATTACATCAATGTATATAAATCAGAGTACGGGTTTGTTTCTTGCGGTTGTTTTCACCCCTGATCAAAAAGTGAACAAAAACCCTACAATGACCTGAAACAATAGGCGAGGTAACTGTGCCGCAGATTAGT